AGTGTGGTCTAATAATTATAAAATACTTTTATACAATTCCTAATTGTGCTCAATATTTAAACTTTAAGTTTATATTCTTGTCTTTCAATACCTTTTACCATGCCCAGGATTTTCTTTCTTTCAGTTATCTCTGTTTTACCCAAGCAGTAAAATCTGGAATTGGTTTAAATCTTAATTTATTAAATTTATAACGTATATTACTGCATTTATAATTTTTTCGGTTCTGCTTTAAAATGCCGAATCAATTAGACCGCTCTGAAAAATAAGGATATTGTGATATCTTAAACCATGTACATGAAGAAATCCAGACATGGGCTGCATTTTTCTCTTTTTTTACTTCTAAGATGAAACAGTTCATAAAGTATTTTTCAAATGCCATCTCAACTCAATACAGAACTCAAGTCTTTCAACTGCAGATTAAGTGTAAAAAGGTTTTTTGAAGCAGCAGCTGCGCAGAATGAATCGAATGTCGCAGCTGTGCTCTCCCTTCCAATCAGAAAAACAACCTTGACATACAGTTTAGCAATTTGTTTTGGGAAGCGCCAGTTGCCCAGAAGCATTTAATACGTCTCATTAAATTAATCCTCAAACTGATTTTGGTTATATATGGAAGAAATGCATGTCAATTTAAAATTAAACTAAAATCAACCTTAGTTTGATAATGAAATTTTAGAAAATTTTCAATTTTGAAAGAGATATAATTCCTTCTACAAAATAAATAAATAAATAAATAAATAATAAAAAAAAAAAACGGTAGAGGTTATTATATTTTTAAGAAAATTCAAAGAATAAAATATATTACAAAATTAGTTCCTTTTAAATTTCTGTTATCGACATTCATATTGAAATGCAATTGCAACAAAACAACGAATGCTGAGTGATAAGACCGCTGAACATTGGTCACAGGTTCGCTTGGCAGTGAAAGAGCTAGGGGCATTAAGTTTTTGTAATGTTCCCCATTCGTTAACTGGTTACAAGCTAGTTTCTCTTGGTTACAAACTTAACCCTAATCAAGTAACTAAGCAAATGCATCAAAATATACTTTTATGCTTAAAAATATGAATGTGTATTTTTTCTTTTCGTATAGCATTAAGTTTACCAAGGCACGAAATATGACTTGAAAGTTAGACTATATTAAGGGGACTCATACACCTTAAACCCCTCATGATCTTCGAATGTGTGACTATTGCAAGAACTGGGATATTTTATTTATTTTAAAAGCAATTACTTCCAACTTTTTACAGCTGACTTCATGATATAGCTGCTTTGGAAACTAGTAACCAGAAAGTTTGTGTTGCCACAAATATTTTTCTAATTTAATCCTCTTTGTCACAAAATATTTCGCCATATTTCCACCTTGCGCGCATGATATTTTAAAAATTACTAATGGTACATACTTGAAATTGGGTGGAATTCTTTATATGGGCACTATTTTCTAACTGAACCAACCAGCAATCTGGTGAATATTTTACTATTGAAAAATTTTATGGACGAAAACATTACAAATTTTTTTAATAAAATACATTTTATAAACTCAACTCAAAATAAAATAAAAATTTAACATGAAAATTTTTAGAATTTTAGGTTCACAGTAGTTTCCAGACCTTATAAAAGCTATTTATTAAATATGGAATTAAACTATGAAACAGAATGTTTTAAACTGTGCGCGCAAGTTGGAAACATGACGAAAAATGTTGTCACAAAGCGGGTTAAATTATAAAAATATTTGTGGCAACACAAACTTTCTGATTACTATTTTAGAAAGCAGCTATATTATGTAGTCATCTGTAAAACGTTGGTAGTAATTGCTTTTAAAATAAATATGTTATCCCAATTCTTGCAACAGTCACCTATTGGAACATCTTATGGGTTTTAAGGTGTATGAGTCCCCTTAAAAAAGGGGGGGCAAATTTTGTTTACACAATTTCTTTATATTAGCTATGATTATTATCACTAACTAGATTTGTAGATTACATTAGTAACAGGCCCTTTAAGCGCAGTTCTGGGAAAAGAGGTAAAAATGTGTATTATTACAAAAGTATATCATTACTTTAAAAGCATTCGGTATAATTATATCGCATTTTATGAAGAACTATGATCCTAAATGAGATTAACATAAAACACGATTTTTTTTTTTTTTTTTTAAATAGAGAACCTGCCTCATTAACGGAAAACTTCGTTTAGTTCTCAGCGGCTTTCATAGATGGAGACGGCAGCTGACAGATGTGAATGATTTTAAAATGCAAGCATATTTCTGAACAATGTTCGCATTCGAATATCGAGCAGTTGCAAGTATGGGTTACTTCCGAATTCCGATCATTCGTCTTTTTTATGACGATGGGCCTATTCATCCGTGCACATCTAATGTAAAGGAAAGTGCACTAATTTTATAAAATAAAGAACCAACTCATCTGAATTTCTGGAAGTGCCGTATCTGAAGACGCAGAGTTTATTTACCACTTTTTTTTTTTTTTCAATTAATTAGTCCGAATATCGAGACCCTTGTAATGTGGGGCACTTCCGACTGGGACTTACCAAAGAATTCCGCCTCTGACTGAGAAGTATCTGAGGGGGAAAAAACTACAAACAGAAGTAAATTAAATAGCCAATAAACAACTGATAGATGGGGAAGTCCGTATAAATAAAATAAGATACGGGAACAACTGTAAAGAATGTTTCACACCCCACCGATTCCCGAAACCGATGAGCCGTAATAAGAACCGTCAGGTAGAAAACAGACCACCAAGAATTCCAACGTTTCTACCATGGAGGTAGGAAGTAAGTTCATTCTTATCTCCATGTTTACAGATAACACTTACCGGAAGTTCATTTAACTCGCTTTTGTTAGACAAAGCAAACTGATTGGATGCCTATCAGTATCTGCTGGGTTTTTGACTGTGGCTTATTTATCGTTTGGTAGCGGTTTTTATCTATCTTGCTATCAATAATGTAAGATATAACACAGAAGTGGAAAAATTACCGGTAAGTACTTTTTATCTTAGCAGAGATCTTATTTCTAATGAGATAAGCAAAACGTAACCGGTTTACCTGCAATCTGCCTTCGAATTTAAGGGTTAACATCAATGCAATCAAGTTTTAAACAAGTTAAAACGTCTTCTACAGAAATGTTACAAATCAGGTTTTAAATTAAAATATGGAAATTTATATGTATGTATATTTAATACGGGAAGCTAAAATTTATGCAAAATTATTCTGTACCCAATTCGAATGTTTAATTTCGGATATGATTCAACCACTACCTGCATTTTAAATTACTAGAACGGTCGGAATTTCTAAATGTGTCTTACAACAAATCACTTTGTCACATTAGAAAAAATGTAAAGGACTAAAAAAAAATGTCTTTCCACTTCTTTTAGCAGAATTGTTCGAGCATAACAAAACTTGAAACATTTGTAATCTGCCAAAATGTAACCTTACCTTTAATTGCAATGAGGAATGGTTAATGCATTTCTATCGAAAAATTCACAAGTTTAACATATCAAGTGCAAGATATTTGCTCTTGAAGATAGATCCGTCTAAATATATGAACCACTTTATATACTTTAATTTGATCAAAATTAGATCAATTGTTTCTGATTATCTAAACTTAAGCTAGAGTGCATTCTAGTACGTCATTAGTTTCGTAAAGTTTTATTAAACAAAGGATTTATTAAAACTCGAAATCTGTTTGACACTTTCTACAAAAAAGTGAATTAAAACTTTTATTTTTATTGAATGCTGCGAATGTTAAAAAAAGTCAGCTTTAGTTCTTTGTTTTCCGAGAAGATAAATAAATGGGCAGAATTTTTAGAGATTGGAAAACGATAAAAGATTAATGCTTAGCAATAAATTTGTAAGCATTAATTAACTAATTAATTATAAAATATATTTTTCTGTACCTCTTTATTTATAATCTGTAAAATAATCCTATCAATTATTTTTTAGCTATAAATCATTTTGATGTAGTTTTGAAATAACATTGAATATTTTTTAATATTGAAATCAAATCATCATTGAAATCAATCAATCATTTTTTTCTATAACTGTATCATAAATTTTTATGTTTTAATTTTTTTTTTACATATTTATAGGGAATTTTGGATTTCATTGGTTTTGATCGTCATGGATTTGGTTCTAATTTTTTTCTTTCTCTATACATACACACAGAGATAGACAGAGAAACAAATTTTCCATGATTGAAACATTAGCCCTGGAATATGAAATGTTTCCACTATACCAGCATAGGAATTTATTTTGCAGTTTATATGACAACATATGAACTTTTTTTTTTTTTTTTTTTTTGAGCAGCAGAAATGTTTGCAGCACCAAAACTCTATTTCTCTATTTCCTAAAAAATTACATAAACGTCCTGGTATATCATCGCTTTCAATCTAGTTTTTCTTCACACTCTTTCATGATTTTTATATGCGTAAGAATTAAGGTAGACTTTACTTTCAATTCCAGTGCTAGTATTAAAATATTTCGCATAGTAAAAAAAACTTTTATGGCCTCCACATAAATAAAAACAATATATATATATATATATATATATATATATATATTACAGAACTAGCATAAATATGATAACTTTGGTTCATATCACAGCACTGAAAAAAATTTAATTTTGCTTGACAGTTTACAGTAGACAGTTTTGCAAAATAAATAAAAAATTTCATTTCATTTAAAAATAAACAAAAAGTAATAAAATCGTGGAAATAAATTTCTAAAGTACAATATTCGGTTTACAGTCATTCGAAGAAACGGCATGTTAAATATGCAGGACTTTGCAAAACTAATAAAATTTTACTCAAGCGTAAATTTCACACTAATTTCTGCGACTGATTACCTTGCATTACTTAAATCATAAAATACATAAAAATGAAATTGCACAATGAAAAACAACACACATTTCATTTTCACATAACAGGAATTACACAGAAAATGAGGTTAAATTTTTATCTGAAGAAACGCCAAATTCAAGGTTATTCAAAGATTCTCACCTTCTCTGGATTTCCCCTATGAAAGTCGTTGCCCTGCCAGAAACGGCGGGCATAACCCTTGATATAACCAACTTTGCTGTCCAAGAATTCGAATCCAGGATTCCAAATCAGTGATCCATAACCAAACACCCACATGTTGCTCATTTTTGCATCTACTGTATATTCAGTAATAATGTGAATGCAATAAATAAATGCACCAAGGTTTGCTCTGGACTAGAGGGGCTGCCGTATGAGGGCAGCCTAGGACAGGAATAATTTACGAGTCACTCACGTGTCAAGTAAAAAGCGGCCGAAAGTTCCGAGGAGACTCCTTTTGAATTGGAGCTCAAGGGTTGCTACCGGTGAGTTCATTTCGCCAAGTGTCGCCAAACGGAAAGAACTGCACCCAGTTCGAGATATTTTTCGTCTACCAGTTATCTCCAAAATATTTTTATTAAATCAATTTGTTTTGAAATATATTGTTTCGATTAAAATGCATTAAAAATGTAGTATAATTGATCGAAAATTTTAGTAAACGTTCATTTAGCCTGTGACAATTTCAGATTGTTCAATTTATTTTTCTTCTTCATCTGTTCATATATCATAACGGAAAATTAATTAGTTCATTTTTTGGCCATTTGTAGCAAATATTGTTAATAAACCTTTCTTAAAATATTTTTATACCAGTCGCTATTTTTACACTTTTTATATTTTTTTTTACCAAAAGTTTTATAACTGGTTAAAACGATTAACAAAAAAAGACTATAGATATATTTAAAAACATAATTTCTCAGTTTCATTCACATTAAAATGCTCCATCTTTCTTTCATTTATGTTCTTAATTTTATAAGATAATTAAACATGTAGTAAAATTTAATTTGTCGTAATTAATTAATGCAGAATTCTATATTTTGAGTTATATTTTTTTAAATCCAAAATTGATTATTGGTCTTGAAATAGGATTTTGCATTCGTTCATTATAAACGGCATATCACGTTTCAAATTTTTACCACCAAATATTATCCCCTTGTATTATTTTTAAAGAAATTAAGTATAGAAGAATCTGCATGTTCTTCGCATTGATGAGAAAACGACGGTAACGAGAGCCATCAGATTTTGAATAACGTAGTCCTCCACCCTAAGTGCATCTGAAAAAATGTATTAATTTTTTATTACTTATTTTCTACTCTGTAAAACTTTAATGAATTTTTGATTAACAAGCTCAACTATCTGACAGCGAGCAGTGGCAATACTGTTTGAAACATTCTTATCTCCAAGACGCGAAACTGTTGCCATTCGGAAAAATATAAGATATTTATCTTTCAGTTTTAATTAACAAACTCTGCTCTATGAAAGCAATGTGTTGTCGCGACCAGAATTAAAATACTTTTATATTCCGCGCGCCAGCCTGTTGCCATTCCGTAAAACCTAAGACGCTGTCAAAATAAATCTGGATGACTGAGTAATAAACTGAGCGATTTAAAAGCATTAAACACAGTTCTTAAGAATATTTTTTCTACTTTTTTATGTGATTGATTTAAACAAGCATGTATTAAAATCATGAGACGTCTAACTAGAAATATTCAGTATTTTTATGAAAATTACACTAACTTGGATTCATTAAAATCATTATATTTTTTCTTTTCTATGATAACTTTTTTAGGCAGCTGGCAGCCCTAGCGACTAATTTTTAAAGAAATAACGTAGCGAATATAAAAATACGTATGGCAAACTCTAACACTCTAGCGGGAATTCTAAAAACATGCTCTTTTTAAATATTTTCTGATTTTGCTGAAGGGAATTTTATATGGTGTAAGGGCGAAGAAGGTGATATTTAATAAAGTTAACGTATAAAAAGTTAATAATAATAAAAAGACAGCTTTTTTTAGCCATCTTCCTAAGAAAACTGAATATTGATATGATGATCTGAAAAACAAACTGAAAAAAAAATTTATATATATATATATAAATGCTTACCAACACTTAACACTGCATCGGAAATTCTAAACATATGCTGCTGTCACAACTGCTGCTAACTATAAACTGTAACTGTAACAACTGCTGAACAACTGTAAACTGCTGCAAATGCTTTTAAAAATTTTGTGATTTTGTTGTTGAACTGCATGTGGCGTAGGTGCTAAGAAAATGATGCTTAATGATAAAGCTAAAAAAGGAGCAAAATGGATTAACAGGAACACTAGCAACTTCTGCATGATTGCCTACATGTTTTTCAAGACTCAATTTCTAATTTCTAAAATTAAAAGCCTCGATGATTTATGGAAATATATCAGGAAGGATGAACAAAAATAAAATAATTAATAATTAAATTAAATTAAATTTAAAGAAATAAACGGCAAATTAATAAATCAGATAAATATATGACACATAGTTAAATAATAAATTGAATTATCCAATCTCATATTATTTAGGAGCTCCGGCTGAAATTACCATTTCGTTCAAAAACTACGAAGTACCCTAAATAGGTCCAATTGTAGATTTAAGCCCTGATTTTCTTGCTTTAGTAAGGAATTATTCAGTTGTTCCAGGAACCACAGCACCACATTTTACCCAAAGATTTTTGTATATTTATTTAGGAAATACCGTATGTATCTCAGTATCACAGTTATTTTCAGCAAAATAGCTGTAAGTCCTAATTAGCGATGCTACGTTTGAGTCCTAGGAGAAGCTTAGATGTTTGTAAATGTGTGTATAGTGTCTGCGAAGCATGGGGGCACTGGGAATTGCCCACTTAGTGCAGTACTCTGCAAATAATGGTGAAACTCTGGTGTCCCACTCACTTGTACCAGTAAATCCTAATTCGTCGCTTGATGGGTCCAACAGCAGCCGAACGGTAAAGTCGCTGAAGAATGGTAGTTCACCTTTTTGGGTTCGATTCTGGACGAACGGGCTGGCTGCATGATGCGTTTGTGTAACGTGGATATGAGCCAGGTTTTAGTTTAGAAGCATCCCTTCCCCCCTTAAGTAGCTTCGCTTGCTTTGCCGTAATGAAATAAACCAAACCATATCGCTGATCCTGAGATTGAATTAAAAAAAGAAGAAGAAAAAGGGGAAAAAAAAAAACAGTTTTTGAAGAAAACGATTTTGATTGCTTGCAATTTCTGCAAGATTGCATGTTTTCACTTGCTTTGATTTCTAAATACGAAATTATAAGTTTGGTTTCAATTAACTTTTAAGACAAATAAAAAAATTAAAGTCTTTTTATACTTTGAATTGATGTATATTAAGATCCCAAGGCCCCGAAGCATCATGTTTTACTTTAAGACGTTTTTTATTTACTTAGGGAAATACTGTATGCATGTCGATAAGTTCATTATTTTCAGTACAAATATTCATTTCATTTTATTTTAATATGAAATTATTAATTATTTCTATGGATAAAGAATATGCATATATTTAAAATAAAATTTTAATTTTAATTTATAATTTTCCCTTAAATCTAGTTATTTCCCATTTCTATTTTATTCTAATAATAGTAAATAAAATTACTAAGATCTTTAAAATAGCAATATTTCTGAACTGCGTCATTTCAAAATTCCATATGCGTCTTATATGATATTGACGTATGTACTTACATGACGACAAAAATGAAACTGAAATCTTTTAAAGCAAGAATAAGGAAAAACTTGCGAATTAAACCAATCAATGGAAACAAAGCGGAACCAAAAGTTAGCTATTTCTTAATTTAGTATCAGTTTTGCAATCTTTTCTCATCTGTTTTTGTGCTGCTAACGTCATGTCCGCAGCTTCTGTTCTATCGTCAATTACATTGCTGTGAATATGTGAAACCTATCTATGTTATTACTGAAAAACTTGTAACGCTTCCATGGCTTTTTTGTATCTTATTATATTACGAATTATATTTAGAATATAATGAATATATCTTATATCAAAGCTTGAATTAAATTAAATACAAAATTTGATGAAATCTTTTTGCGGTTTTTGATCTCAAATGGACCAGGGAAGGAAACATATTTTTGAAACATATTAATTGACTTTTATGAAGCTTTAATCTATTTATCCCTGATGAGTTCTGAATTGGAGTTTTAATTAAAGTTTTAATTAAATTTAATGTTTGGTGTTCCCTTCAGGCATTTTTCCGGTACATTTAAAAGCCAGACGAAGGCTGGTCGCGTAGCGGCTAGTTTTGCATATTTTTCCCTTTCGCATTTTCATTTTTCGAGCTTGTTCTTGTATGAATTCTAGTAATTTCTAGTTTAATTCTTTCTTTAAATTGGATTTGTTTTGATATTGTATTATACCTCTTATACACGGTTGCAACTAATTACATTACGGAGAAATTGCCTTGTTTTTATTCTAATTTAATAATAAATTTAATTAAATTTCTTTAAGTTTAATTAAATTTCTTTCAAAAATTACAAAAAGAAAATTTATAATTATTTAGTCAGGTGATTATGACACAAAGCAATCGAGAATCGTTTTTACTAAACGTATTTTCTTGGAAGATTTTCTGTACATCTTTCAGGTAGAGATTTTATCCAGAATTTTAGGAATATAATGATGTGGACATCACATACACAGTGCTCTACAAAGGTGTTTGCATTACATACACAGTGCTCTACAAAGGTGTTTGCATTACATACACAGTGCTCTACAAAGTTTTATAATTCATATAAAGTAGAAAACTAAAACAAATTGCTTGCTTGGTAGCCTTCAGTTAATCTATAAAGCCCTTGGCATCTTCGTTCCTCTGTTTGATTCCTTTATAAAGCTTTTGGAACGGCGTTTGAATCTCTGTTTATGATTTTTGAGTCGCTGTTGTAAGCATCATTTTTCAGATGAGACTTCACTTTAGGGAAAAAGAAAGTGTTTTTCAGGTTGCAGATCTGGTGAATAAGGAGTGTGCTGAATGAATGTTTTCTCGGTTAGAAACCAAGTATTTGACTGAACTTTTTTCAGGCCCAATGAGCTGAATTCTCTTCAAGCTTATGAAATTCTCCGTCTATGCCTTCAGAAAAAATTTCTTATGAATACTTTATTTCCAGTTAAAAAAGTTCACCATATTGATCTTACTCAAGACTTTTGATACTAATGTTTCTGTGGCCGGATTCTGTGAAATTAAGATAATTGCCGTTTTGTCTCAGGATCATAAACAAAGTACAAATTTTTGTTAACAGTCGAAATTTGCTTTAAAAAAATTATAATTAATTGTCTTTTAGCCAAACGCTGCTGTAATTCTTTGCTCAGCTTTCAAATCTATGACAGATGTTAAAAACAAAGAATTAACCACTTAGACGGTAAGCAGACGGTATTTTAGAAAAAACGAATTGAGATACCA